AATGCGTAATAATATAATAAATGCTTAGTAACAAGTTGTACTGACAAAAATCATCAAATAGTAAATGCCCGATAAATATAATTAATTTATTAAAGTGTTTTGATAATAATTTATAATTTTTCTTACAATACGGGTATTCTTGATAGCGTTTTAAAAATTGCAAATAAAGTATTTTTTGGGGGCTCTACTCTATTGCTTTTTTAATCATTATCAATGCTTCTCGCAATACCTTACACTCCGCATAATCACACTCTCATTTTATATCACGTAACTTGCTTGATTTCCAGAAAGGAATACATAAAAAATGTTATTTTATCAATAAATAAATTGAAATTCTCATAAAACGATTTAAAAATGTCATGTGACTGGAAATTACGCTATAATCGCATTAATTAATACTATTAATTAGATTGAAAGAATTTTTCAATATTCTTTTCAGTATTGTATATTGTCCAATCTATAAAATAATAAACTTAAGTAACAGACTAAAAAATAAAAATAACAATAAAACAAAAATATTTAAACGAAAAATTTTTTCCATAGAGGTTTGGATGTTGTTTCTTCTTTGATTTTATTAAATAAATACATTTTAATATATAATTTTATTATTTTATGTATATTAATTAAAGAATTATGGCAAATAAAATAAAGTTGAATTCATTTTTATTTTCGAAACAAAACTTTAAGCCGCCTAGGTTAACGATATTAGATATTAGTACCAGTCCCAAATGATACCACTTAAAGAACCTTCATGGGGCGCATCGCTATCAACTTCATTCCCCACATGAAGGATGCCGGATAATCAATGGATTCCAATGATGCTTCGGTTTTTCGGGCCAATAATGTTCTGAGGAAATCTTAAAATTTCCGACACAACATTGGGGTTGAACCGCAGAACTGAGTCGTTCATAGGGTTGGACTGACGTCTTAACCAAATGACTATCAGAACTACGATTCATAAATTATACAAATGTACTTCATCTTATTCCTTTTAGGTAATTATATTCGATAAATGTGATGTAACGATAGTTTAAAAATTTATTAGGCGCGTGTTTTACTTAATTTTTTACAAGTAATTTTTTTACCGTATGATTTTTTTAAGTACCAATGGTTAGAAAAGTACTTTAATAATCAGGTCATTGTTATTTGTTAAATAAATCTTTAACATTATTATAGGTAATCAACGAAGTACTTGCTTTTTCATCTGGGATAATAACATCGAAACCGCATCTACATGTACATTTTCCTCAAAGTTCAATGGGAAAATTATCCGACCTTTAAGATTATATTTTCGCATCTCCACTTTCAATGTATTTTATCGTTTTATTATATTAATAAACTTTATATCCTTTTAGAAATACAAATCCTGGTTTCTTTCATCGATCATAATTAAAGTTCTTCCAGACCTTTCAAGAACAGAGCGTCCTCATTAAAAACAAACGGTGAGCAAATTACACACCATTCTTAAATATTTGGAAATAGTCTTATCAAATTGAAATCCATGATAATAATAAATGTTTATTTATTACATTTATTTTTCATTAATTATTTTTGTAAGTTCTCGGCTATTCCAACTAACAAAAAAATTATGATTAAATCAAAGTGATTAAATTACAAAAAGATACGATTACAAGATTAATTGTTTCTGCGATGATTCACACATCCTGGAACTTATGCTTTACGAAAAATAATAATTTTCGATGATGCTCATTGCAATTAAGAAAGGAATGAGCGTTAAACAAGGTAATATTTTGCTGTTTATTATGAAAATCAAGAAAAGATATTTCTTTAATTATTTGTTTTTTTCACCCTAGATCTGGGGAATGCATCAAGAATGGCGAAATTGGAAAGAAAGTATATACCAAATATTTTCTATCATACGGATATGACTTTTAATGTTTGGTTTTATTTATATATGGTATTATATTGATGTTTGCTAATCAGTGAAACAATCTTATCTTACTTCCAAAGATGTTTTATGAGAAAAGAAAGTAACTTTATGATATAGAATTTGAATAATAGCCATCTTTGCAAACGTTATATTTTTTAAAATTGAATTGTTTATGTAAAAAATTTAGTAGCTTCTAACCATAATATACTTGGGTCTCTCGCACTTTTTTCGTCATAATAAAATCTATGTTTAGCAGGTTTATAGGTGTATTCTAATACATAATCTTCGTTGAAAATATCATAAATCTCTTTTAATGTAAATGTAAAGATTATTGGAACTTTAAAGGTGGAGGTATTAATTCTTTCAATGTTTCATTTTGTAATATTCCCAAATTATTAAATTCGTTGTATAAATCGTCAAAATTAAGAACATGACTGCCGGGATATGAAGCGTAAGATAATGGCATATCTTTATAACCACCAACAGCAATAGTGCTTACATTAAATTTTTCTGCCATACGATGAGTAATCAACGAACATGAT